AGAGGACGTCCTTTCTCTATGGTCGTATTTCATGCCATAACATTGACTGGCTCTACCTCCTGGCACACACCCAACAATGCTCCTTCCTTAAGTGTCTGCTCACATTTAGAGAAATTGACCACTGTTACGGGTACTACTTGATGACCAGCCACAAGTGGCATTCCAATCTTCATATCTACTGGCCTGGATGGGTCTTCCACTACTTCCATAATCATTGGGCTTCCTTGGGGATGTTCTTTTATTCCATCCCAAATTATATTCTCTGACATAGGGTATTGTAGTTGACTTAAGTGCTGTGACATGTAAATCAACAGATGCAGCAACACGTATTGGAATTTGGCCTTTGTTGTTCCCAATCGTCATTTTATCGAAGTTAACTATACACTTTCTTGGTAGTGAGCAGTCCAACCCTAATATGCATTGGTCTTCAATGTCAGCCAAGTATACTTTGTGTCTGTCCTTCATGCCCATGAGCTCAATAGTTACCCAAACTGGTCCCCACAATCTTGCATAATGTCCTCTCACACCACAGAGCTTATGTATGGCTTCTGGTACTCCTTTGTGATCTAGCATCTTGAATGTCACAAGGGTTTGCTAAGATGCAGAATCTATGACAAAGTTGCACCTTTGCCAAGCCAGCTTTCCTCTCATGTAGACACTATGTGTGCTTGCCATCTTACACTTAGCTGTTGGGACTTTCACAATGGGAGTTGATGGGCGTCCTTCAACACCAACCAATACTGGTCTCCCTGAGGCCGACTTGTTGGTAATATTCTTCCTACACTGGCTCCTCATATGTCCTTGCTCTCCACAGTTCCAACAACCTTTCTGGGTAGCAGCCTTTCCTGTCGTGGCATCTTCCCTGTGTTGAAGTTGCCAGCATTGAGTTTCTTGTGCCCAGATCTGTTACAGTGCCAGCATAGTTCCTCAAACTTCTCTGAAAGCTGACATTTTCTGGCTTTGAATCCTGATGATGGTACCAACCTTGGTACCTCTGTGCTGGACTTAACAGAGTATTCGAATTCTCTGGCCATTGCATCCTGCATAGTAGAGGGGTGTCCTTGATTTACTTGTATCTTCAGTTGTGGACTGTCCAAGGCGTCTACAAACTGATCCCTCAGCAACAACTTGAGGACATCGGGTGGTGCAGTTCGGTAGGCCTTGTGTGCCATACTTTCCAAATCCTGTGCCAGCTCTTACAGGCTCTCCCCGTTAGCATGCACTCTAGTTCTAAACCTAGCCCTGTGGACTTCGGACTGATTTTGGGTTCCATACATGAGTTCTAGAGCCGCTGCCAGTGCTCTATAGTTGTGCCTGTCGTCTGCTGACAACTGTCCAAGTATTTCCAGTGGTTGTCCCTTCAGGCTCGTTGCTAGGTACACTGCTTTCTGCTCCTTTGTCCATCCATTCATTTCTGCCAGGAGCTCAAACTGTGCTCTATGTGCTTCCCACGGTGCCTTCCCATCGAATTCCTGTGGTTTCCTTCGTACTAGATCACTCCTATTGTCTGGAATGTGACTTCTGACAGGACTGAAGATGACTGCTTTAGGGTTTAGCTGCGGGGTCTGGAAGGGGCTTCCCATTATCTGAGGCCGATGGCTAATATATCCTCCTTGTGTAAAAGACAGTAAATCACCCTTCAATGAATTTAATTCACTTTAAATTTGCTAATGTTTTCCATTTGTACTTCTTGCCACTGTTGTTGACTTTCCTGTAGTTGCTGCTAACTTTCTGCATCTGTTGGAGACTTTCTTCCTGTTTCATTTCTTGTTCCAGTTGCCACTGCTGTAATCTCTCTTCTTGTTTATTTTCTTTCTCCTCCAACCACTGCTGTAGTTTCTCTTGTTTATTTTGCTGTTCGAGCTGCCACTGTTGCAGGTTTTCTTGCCACTGCTGTTGTCTCTCTTCTTGTTTCTTTTCTTTTTCCTCCAACAACTGCTGTAATCTCTCTTCTTGTTTCTTTTCTTTTTCTTCTAATAACTGCTGTAATTTCTCTTCTTGTTTCTTTTTTCCTTCAACAACTGCTGTAATCTCTCTCCTTGTTTCTTTTCTTTTTCTTCCAACAACTGCTGTAATTTCTCTTTTTTTATTTTCTCGTTCTTCTTGTTTCTTTTGCTCTTCTTGTATTGCTGCCACCAAATCTGCTAAGCTGTAGTTTATTTTGCCGCTTCTCGTTTCCATCTTCTTTTTTTTTCATCCCACTTCTGACATCAGTTTGTTACGTCTCTGATCGTTTGTTAATTTCCCGTGAAATTTCTTTCCGAAGAATTCAGCGATACAAGTCTTTTCTTACATAAAACGAGTTTATTCTTTCTCAATACAACTTTGCAATACACAGAATTTCCACAGTCACTTTAACTTAAACACACGCTATAATTCACAATGATTTACACACTTTACTTACTGCTTGACTCGATTATCTCCGTTATCAATTTATCTGCCGGCTTATATACTAAAATAGAGGGCGTCTAGTAAACGCTGGGACATTCGTGAGGTTCCCCGATCCTTCTAGAATCTCATCACGTGTTACCAGCGTCACGTGACTTCAGCTGTCGTAACACCATGATAAACTAGAAAAATAGTCCTCACCCAAGGATAGATGTCGTACACCTATGATATTACCTTAAAAAACAACTAGTAACCTTCACTCAAGGCCAAATTTTACATACCTTGACATTGGCAAATAAAAAAAAGGTAATATTCAACCGAAATAATGCCTGTAATGTCTGCACAAAAATTATAGGCCTAACGATATAGTCAATTTGAAAAAGCTGGTTGAAATTTCATCCTAATAAACTAAATTGGAACTGGTTTGGTTTGAATTTCCTAGAAAGTTACACGAGGGCTATCTGCGCTAGCCGTCCCTAATTTAACAGTGATAGACTAGAGGGAAGGTAGCTAGTTATCAACACCCACCGCTAACTCTTTTACCAACGAATAGTGAGATTGACCGTCACATTATAATGCTCCCACGGCTGAAAGGGCGAGCATGCGAACCCACGACCCTCAGAATGCGAGTCAAGCGTCCTAACCACCTGGCCATGCCGAGCCTAAATTAGGACTTCCAACAAAGATGGAACCAAAAACAGTTCTTAGATATCACTGTATTTCTCTTCTTGTTAGACAACGGTGTTTATTGGGGTTGAATTATTTACAAAAACATTCAACATTGTTGTTTTTTCAAGCATGTACAGTGACTATGAAGAAAGGAACAAAACGAAATCTTTGGGTTTTAGTTATCATATCCTTATGTTGTTGTGTTAGATAGTGGATGTTTTTTTTATTGTTTGAGAATGGCTTATGAAACCAATTTGTGAATAACTTTTCATTGTGTTGTTTTGCATCTAGTTTTATTCAATAATTTATTTGTTTGGTTGAAGGGATTATTCCTTGGAAAGAGGGTAAGTAATTTTTTTGGTTTAAGTTTTAAATGGGGAGTCATTTCTTTTTAGAATATGTAAAACGTTATTTCACAATTAGTCAATGCAAAGTAACTTTGATAATTTTCCAAAACTTCGTACTCTTGAAGGAATGTAAACTAACTGTTATCAATTTCTCCAATTTACACAGGCCTGATAATTTTCCAAAACTTCGTACTGTTGAAGGAATGTAAACTAACTGTTATCAATTTCTCCAATTTACACAGGCCTGCGATGGTTTTATTGTCTTGAAATTTTTACACGTTCTTCAGTAATTTATGTATGCTGAATCCGAAAATGATATTCATTTTTCTTCATCACGTACAGTTTTTTTCACAAAACGTCATGACGCAGTACATAAAAGAAAGACCAGAACACGTAATTTGAAAAAAAAATCAGGATGAATGAGGATGCTATTCGCTTGACATCAATGTTCTACCCTTTTCTTCAGTTTGATTGTGTTTTTGGTTAACAAATATATTAATAAAAAATTTTCATTGTGGTAAACGAAATTATAATTTGATCTACGTAAGAGTTTTTTCTTCCCGATTTGTAAACAATTATGGAAGATCCGTTATCAAAACCAAAAAAACTTTTATGAAATTTAAATTCGCAGGCCTGTGTTATTAGAACCACCAAACGTCATGTTAAAGTCAACGGTTTAAGATGTTTTAATTTTACAAACTTCTTGAATCATGCTATTTGCAATAAAGGTAAGTCCAACTTGCTTTTCGGCTAACTTTATTCCTTTTTCTGAATTTTAAGTTATACAAAACCTCGGGTCACTGTATGGGTTAGCTGCTCCAAACTGAAAAACTTCAGTGTGACGTAAACCACACAGTTCATTAGAAGATTAAAAACAATCCTGACATAAACCTTGATCTAGGCCTTTTAGATCTTCTAAACTTTTAAAATGACGGAATTATGTCGATTTTAACATTTTCCCCATCAGCAGAACTTGAATTAGAATTTTAACACATTTTGTTAAACTCTTTATATTTATAGTTGTTTGTGGGTCCATGAATTCGTTTGTTACAAGGTCCCAACTAATAATATACGAGTCACAGAGAAAAAAAAAAACCATTTGCTCAGCGGGAAGTCTGGGTACTTATAACACTAGAAATTCGGTTTCAATACTTGCGTTGGACACAGCACAGACAGCCCATTGTGTAGCTTTGTATTCACCAAATACACAATTAAACACACGGAGAAATATAGCCCAAAATATCGTCAATATTGTAATTAATCTCCCTAATTACTGCTAGGAAGTCTTATGTATTTTACATAAAAATTAATTACTTCCCTCCATTTTATTTTGTAAGTCTTTTAAAATGAGTGTTGAAATAGGTAATAATATATAATTAATCACTCTAATACAACTGTGTTAAAATGAGTCAGTGATTTGCGGATTAAACCAAAATTGCTTATATATACTTCTCAAAACGTCATTCTCTAAAACAAGAATAGAAGTGTCTGGATGACAACAACGTTTTTGTCAAAAAAATTTATCACCTAAAATACAAAAAGTGATATTTATTGCTAGAAACGTTAAGTGCTTTTTCCCCCCTTCTTAATACTCACCAAAGCAGAATCGGCTCTGTCCATAAACGACTTTTGCATATAAAAGCGTGGCAACTCTGTAAATCCATAAACTTCCAGTTCTTTGGGGTACAATGTTGCAGCCATTAAAGCTGATTCTGGCGCCACCTGGTTATATGGTGTATTGTACACGATGGATATTACATTTGCTCCTTCCTGCCAGACAACCTGGACAGTCAAACTTAAAATTAGGTTTCGTACAAAGAAAGAAAAACCTTACATTCAAAAAACGTAAAAATAAACAAATATTGAATTTGAAAAGTTTCATGCAATTCAATAGAACTATATATATAATGACATTGAGTGACTGGAGCCACTGTTTGCTGAGTAAAGGAAAGTAATACAGTTAAACATTGTTATAACAACTCTCAGTAAAACTAGGTTTCTAATATATACGTCATGATATGGAATATTTCGTTGGCCTCCTTGTTTACATTTTCATTCGTAAAATTCGCGACACACAAGAGCCCTTGTACAGACGATACACGAACCACTACTATATTACATTTTATACTCCTTTACAGTTTTCCGGTGGTCAGCGGTAAGTTTACGGACTTATAATGCTAAAGTTCGGAGTTCGATTCCCCCGCGATAGGCAATGTACAGATAACTCTTTGTATAACTTTGCGTTAAAGCAACAAAATTCTTTACTTAATGTCAAATTGTCTCTGTATATAAGTTTCTTTAGATGTACAAACCTTAAAACCGCCTTCACTTAATAATATTTAAGAGATCAAGATGTTCCATTTTTTTCTTCATTATCAATAGTTATGGCTGAAAAATAAATAACTAAAACTGGAGTTCTACAATAATCAGCGGTGAGTACAGACATTATTTTAATTATCTTGATTTTATCTGACTAGTGGCGCCATAAGATAAGTACGGGGATTTGGAATCAAAGGGGCCCTAAAAATGTGTGTAGTAACCCTGACACGATCGGTGAGTATTTTTTATGTGTTGAGTGTATTAAGTTTCAAAATTTTGTGTATAATTAATAATTCTAGCTTTATTTCAACAATTTGTAATTGAAAAATATTTTTGAGATGGTATTTCCTAATTACATTTTTCAGTGTAATTCATTAGAAAATGTCGGAACTTGCCATTTTGAGGAAATCCAAGAATTCTCACCTGTAAGGCAACGCATTTACCAAGTTTTTAGAAATTTTCTGCCCATTCCCAAATAAATTTATGTTTGCTAAGAAACTATCATCTCTTGATAATATTGTTTGTTTTTTTTGTTTGTTTGTTTTTTTAAGTTAAGCACAAAGCTACACAATGGGCTATCTGTGCTCTGCCCACCACGGGTATCGAAACCCGGATTCTAGCGTTGTAAGTCCGCAGACATACCGCTGTGCTACTGGGGGGCCTCTTGATAATATACTCACTCATATCTTATTTCTCAAGCGAGCTGTAAAAAAGAAAAGGGAAATGTATTGTGAAATGTTGCTGTTGGGCCCATGATATTGTGGTATTCTCCAGTACACGTATTTCCAGTAAGTAAAGGGATAGTATCCCACGAATACTGAGGTTAAGAATATGTGTTTGAGTCTCAATGAACTCGGGCTGAGATCGTTTCAAAAAAAAAGATATGCCACACAAAATGTATAAAGCATCAATATTTATTAAACACAATACACAAACAACACTAAAGCAAGTGTTTGTAATGGGTATGTGGAACTGGTGTGTGAGAGTATGAAAATATTATTGGTTCTCACCAGTTCAGTGTGAGCCCCACCCCCTCATATACGAAGAAAGAAAGAAAGTTAAAGCATTAAAATGAAAGCTAAAAGTTTAACTGAACTCTGCATAAAGTTAAGACGGAACTGCTAAATCTCTGTACAAATCCAGAACTCCACAGAAATCTTAAGCTTTACAAAAGTTAACTGAATATGCAACATCTAAAAGAAAAAGAAAATAAGACGAAAATTAAAAATCATTAACAGGAAAGAGCCTGGCTTTAAATACCAAACTACAACAACACAAACAAAGTCAAGCTGCTCATGCACATTACACGATTCGCCAACACAAAAGACAGAATAAAATAAGATAAAATTAAAAATCATTAACAGGAAAGAGCCTGGCTTTAAATACCAAACTACAACAACACAAACAAAACCAGGCTGCTCACGGGCCATCACACGATTCGCCAACATAAAAGACAGTTTTCCATTTCTTTGAAATCACCCTAAATTTAGCGAATTTGGTCCCAGGTGGAAAAGTCATGTTGCCCTAAACTGAAAATAAACAACAACAAAAAAAAAAACAACATCTAGAAATTACGAAACATTTACACACTAACTAGCAAAGGTAAAGTATTGTCCTGTACCACAACATGTGAACTCACTCAACTTAATGTAATTCTAAGAACTTACAAGTGAAAATGAAGAAGCATCGAAAACAATATAACTTGACTCCAACTGGTTTATTTAACCTGACCAGAACTAATACGAGTCTCTTTCTTTCCAGTCTTTACACAGTCATTTGTTGAACATTAGGTAAAGATAACACCAGACTACAGTAAGACGTGATTAACCAACTGCAGTTAGTTTATAACTTAGCAGATAAAAACCCCTGAAAATTAACAACGTGTAAGTTAGCAGAGAAATATTATCAGAAATAAATAAACCTAAAAGTTAAATGATAAATAAAGAAGTTAGTAGAGAAAAAAAAAGAATGTATAATAAATGTGAACAAATGAGTAAAAACAAGAAAAAATCTAAAGAACTGTGTAAGTTAGTACGGTTAAAAAACACGGAAAATTATTAAGTGTACAAATTAACAGAAAAAAACAAGTGTCAAATTAGTAAAGAAACATTAAACCAAATTATGACAATAGTATAAAGACACTTCTAAATTATCAACGAAATTATGACATTAGTATAAAGACACTTTTAAACTATCAACGAAACTACAACAATAGTATAAAGACACTTTTAAAATATCAACCAGATTATGACAATAGTATAAAGACACTTTCAAAATATCAACCAAATTATGACAATAGTACAAAGACACTGTTAAAATATCAATCAAATTATGACAGTAGTATAAAGACACTTTTAAAATATCAACCGAATTATGCAATAGTATAAAGACACTTTTAAAATATGAACCAAATTTTGACATTAGCATAAAGACACATTTAAACTATCAACCAAATTATGACATTCGTATAAAGACACTTTTAAAATATCAACCAAATTATGACATTAGTATAAAGACACTTTTAAACTATCAACCAAATTATGACAATAGTATAAAGACACTTTTAAAATATCAACGAAATTATGACATTCGTATAAAGACACTCTTAAACTATCAACCAAATTATGACATTCATATAAAGACACTCTTAAACTATCAACCAAATTATGAAAATAGTATAAAGACATTTTTAAACTATCAACGAAAGTTTGACAATAGTATAGATACTTTTAAAATATCAACCAAATTATGACATTAGTATAACGACACTTTTAAACTAGCAACCAAATTACGATAATAGTATAAAGACACTTTTAAACTATCAACCAAATTACGACAATAGTATAAAGACACTTCTAAATTATCAACGAAAGTATGACATTAGTATAAAGACATTTTTAAACTATCAACGAAATTATGACAATAGTACAAAGACACTGTTAAAATATCAACCAAATTATGACAGTAGTATAAAGACACTTTTAAAATATCAACCAAATTATGCAATAGTACAAAGACACTTTTAGACTATCACCCGAATTATGCAATAGTATAAAGACACTTTTAAAACATGAACCAAATTATGACATTAGTATAAAGACATTTTAACACTATAAACCAAATTATGACATTAGTATAAAGACACTTTTAAAATATCAACCAAATCATGCAATAGTATAGACACTTTTAAAATATCAACCAAATATGACATTAGAATAAAGACACATTTAAACTATCAACCAAATTATGACATTCGTATAAAGACACTTTTAAAATATCAACCAAATTATGACATTAGTATAAAGACACATTTAAAATATCAACCAAATTATGCAGTAGTATAAAGACACTTTTAAACTATCAACCAAATTATGACAGTAGTATAAAGACACTTTTAAACTATCAACCAAATTACAACAATAGTGTAAAGACACTTTTAAACTATCAACCAAATTACAACAATAGTGTAAAGACACTTTTAAAATATCAACCAAATTATGCAATAGTATAAAGACGTCAACATTCTTAACCTGTCAACTAAACAATGTTATTAATAGAGACACAGCTTAACAATGGATTGATTTTAACAAAGATATTCTTGACCTTCTAACAGTGCAGTGATATTATTGTAAAACACTCAACCTGTCAGCCGAAAATAGTTTATCTTTGTTTACATTTAGGTTATTTGCTATAACTCTTTAAGGACATCACTGACGTTAATTCAACGTAATATATATAGAAGCTCATATATAAAGGACTCTGCGGTTTGAGTCATTTTTCGGGTCTAATTTTTGCATTTTACGATTATTTTTTTGTGTGTGTATTGGTTAAATGTTATATTTGTATACAAAACGATTATGACATAAAGAAGCGATATAAGTTAGATGATTGTATTAGATATACAATCTTACTTTATCATGAAAACACTCATACAGGGGTATAAAATCGACAATATCCCCCGTTGGTTGATTATTTCGTACATGAAATCTTGGCTATGCTCCTGTATCCACTTTTTTAGCACTAACCTTTACGTATTACTTTTAATAGCCCTAGACACTTGTAAAGTTCGTTAGTCACTCCTTGCAAGGAAATACCAGGTTATTAACAGCGGAAGTATGAGAGATGAAAATGATATAATTTTGACTTATGGAATTTATCTCTACTTATAATCTTAGATGTCCAAGAAATACTGTCCTACATGTTGTTCCTCGCAGCGTCCAATCTGTGGACCAATATTAACTGATGATCTAATGTTATATAACTCCCGGATCAGTATTAATTGATGTTTAATACTATCCAACTCATGGATCAGCAAAAACTGGTGATCTAATGTTATCCAACCCTGAGGATTAGTATTAACTGGTGATCTAATGTTATCCAACCCCGAGGATTAGTATTAACTGATGATTTAATGTTATCCAACTCATGGATCAGCAATAACTAGTGATCTAATGTTATCCAACCCCGAGGATCAATATTAACTGGTGATCTAATGTTATCCAACCTCGAGGATTAGTATTAACTGATGATCTAATGTTATCCAACCCCGTGGATCAGTATTTACTGGTGATCTAATGTTATCCAACTGCATACATCAGTAGTAACTGGTGATTTAATGTTATCCAACTGCATAAATCAGTATTTACTGGTGACATAATGTTATTCATAACCGTGGATCAGTATTTACTGGTGATATAATGTTATCGAACTTCATAAATCGGTATTAACTGGTGATCTAATGTTATCCAACCCCGTGGATCGGCATTAACTGGTGATCTAATGTTATCCAACTCCGAGGATTAGTATTTACTGGTGATATAATGTTATCGAACTGCATAAATCGGTATTAACTGGTGATCTAATGTTATCCAACCCCGTGGATCACCATTAACTTGTGATCTAATGTTATCCAATCCCGAGGATTAGTATTAACTGATGATCTAATGTTATCCAACCCCGTGGATCAGTATTTACTGGTGATATAATGTTATCGAACTGCATAAATCGGTATTATCTGGTGATCTAATGTTATCCAACCCCGTGGATCACCATTAACTGATGATCTAATGTTATCCAACCCCGTGGATCAGTATTAACTGGTGATCTAATGTTATCGAACTGCATAAATCAGTATTTACTGGTGATATAATGTTATCCAACTGCATAAATCGGTATTAACTGGTGATCTAATGTTATCCAACCCCGTGGATCAGCATTAACTGATGATCTAATGTTATCCAACCCCGTAAATCAGTATTAACTGGTGATCTAATGTTATCCAACCCCGTAAATCAGTATTAACTGGTGATCTAATGTTATCCAACCCCGAGGATTAGTATTAACTGATGATCTAATGTTATCCAACCCCGTGGATCAGCATTAACTGATGATCTAATGTTATATAACCCCATAAATCAGTATTAACTGGTGATCTAATGTTATTCAACCCCGTGGATCAGTATTTACTGGTGATCTAATGTTATTCAACACCGTGGATCAGTATTTACTGGTGATATAATGTTATCGAACTGCATAAATCGGTATTAACTGGTGATCTAATGTTATTCAACCCCGTGGATCAGTATCAACTGATGATCTAATGTTATTCAACCCAAGAATCAGTATTAACTGGTGATCTAATGTTATCGAACTGCATAAATCAGTATTAACTGGTGATTTAATGTTATCCAACCCCGTGGATCAGTATTAACTGGTGATTTAATGTTATCCAACTGCATAAATCAGTATTAACTGGTGATCTAATGTTATCCAACCCCGTGGATCAGTATTAACTGGTGATTTAATGTTATCCAACTGCATAAATCAGTATTAACTGGTGATGCAATGTAAATATTTGGTTAATATTTTCGAAAACCCAGTAATAAATACTTGATAATTTTACAATAAACATTCTTTTACAGTTACATTTAATTTTGTTGGATAGTTTGGTATGTTTTTCGTTATCATCTGTTGCTTTGTTTCTTTTACATTTAATTTTGTTGGATAGTTTAGTAGGTTTGTCGTTATCATCTGTTGTTTTGTTTCTTGTACAGTTACATTTAATTTTGTTGGACTGTTAAATAGGTTTTTGTTATTATCTATTGCTTTGTTTCACACAATTCTTAAACAAATGACAACTTACAACTATCCAAAACGATGACATTTTTCGTTTTTAAAATCGATCTATTACGTTTTCTTTTAGTGATTCTGTATATAGAAGAAAACAAAAAAAAACTTATCGTTCATCTGGATACACAAGTTTTAGTTATTAGAACTTCTAGGAAGATCAGTTTTACTAAAATTTGTCGTCCCAGAGCCAAGTCGAGTCCTTACACCGAAAACTATCAACTCTGCACAAAGACGATCAATTATATTAAAATTTGTCATCCCAGAGCCAAGTTGATTCCTTACACCGAAAACTATCAACTCTGCACAAAGATGACCAATTATATTAATATTTGTCATCCCAGAGCCAAGTTGATTCCTTACACCGAAAACTATCAACTCTGCACAAAGACGATTAATTACATCAAAATTTGTCATCCCAGAGCCAAGTTAATTCGTTACATCGAAAACTATCAACTCTGAACAAAAACGACCAATTGTATTAAACTTGTTATCCCAGAGCTAAGTTGATTCATTACACCGAAACTTTCAACTATAAACCAAGACGACCAATTATATTTAAACTTATCATCCCAGAGCCAAGTTAATTCCTACACCGAAACTTTCAACTATGAACCAAGACGACCAATTATATCTAAACATCGCAGAGTCAACTCAAGTCCTTACACTGAAACTATCAACTGTGAAGAAAGACGACCAATTATATTGAAACTTGTCATCCCAGAGGAACGTTTATTCCTTACACCGAAACTGTCAACTCTGACAACACGAGCTTAGTTATATTCTGTGATTATACATGTCCAGTTCTTACGTGATTTATCTCCCAGTTCCTTCTTTACTCATTCCAACACAGTTCAATGTTTTGAATCTTACCTCTCGTCCTAATGTTTCGTCTGTGTAACATTACTTCGAATGGTCCTATGTCTAATGAAATGTTCTTTTTGTCAGAAGGTTAAACTATTCAACCAGTATATATTATAATAGCCTAGTGTTAGTTAAATATAATGTTTTGTATTTTTTCCTTCTCACACATAGGTAATGACCAGAAGCTTAAATTATTCAACCAGTGTATATTTGTATATTATAGTGCACCATGTTGTCAATAGATGGCACTAGCGATAGCTGGAAAGAAATTTAATTCCAGGTTAGGGCATGGCAATGATCCAGTCTTTTTGGTTGAATTTCGTAATTCAAGATTTGGAAGCTCCACTCAGCTACAAAGTAGTGTGGTTCCAAAAGTAAAATTCAAGATATAATTAACTTTAGAAAATTAAATGTAAACAAGTGATATTCAACATACGTCTAATCTGTATTTAAAAATCGTTATTTTCCTTTTCTTTTGGTTAAGACAGATTGCAGAATGGCGACAATAAAGATATATACCAAAGTACAGATGCGACTTTATAAGTGTCATTTATGATTGGTTGCCTAGCATTTTTTCTAAAAATATTCCCTTTTTAATTTAGAAATTCCTCACAAACGTGTTATTATTATTTATTTTTTTTGTACTCGTTTTTCTTCAAGCTAAAATGTCGAAACATTTATCTACTTTTAACTTATTCCCACAATTAATTTCCTTTGGAGGTTTTATGCTGAAATAGCTAATAGTGTGTTGAATGTATTTACATTAATTTACCTCATGTTTTATAAAAGCATATTTTAAGTTTTATAAACATCATTCGAATTTTATTTCACTTGTGCTAAGATATATTAATATACCTTGTTTTTAGACTTCATTGATGGTGGAATATACGTTTTACTAGTGTAAATAAAATGTCTTGTTTTATCCGTTGTTTTCGTACCACCTCAAATCTTGGAAAACTCTTGTTGTCTTTTGTGGATTTAACGAGCAAACCAACGTTTCGCAAGCACAAATACTGAAAATTGTTTCTTAATCTTCTCGTTTCGGATAGGTCTTGGAAAACTCTTGTTTATTTTACGTGTATTTAACGAGCAAACCAACGTTTCTCAAGCACAAATACTGAAAATTGTTACTTAATCTTCTCGTTCCGGCTAGGTCTTGGAAAACTCTTGTTTGTTTTTTTTACGTGTATTTAACGATTTGTTTGTTTGTTTGTTTGTTTTTGAATTTCGCGCAAAGCTATACGAGGGCTATCTGCGCTATACGTCCCTAATTTAGCAGTGTAAGACTAGAGGTAAGGCAGCTAGTCATCACCACCCACCGCCAACTCTTGGGCTACTCTTTTATCAACGAATAGTGGGATTGACCGTAATATTATAACGCCCCCCACGGCTGAAAGGGCGAGCATGTTTGGTGGGACGGGATTCGAACCCGCAGATTGCGAGTCGAGCTCCCTAACCACCTGGCCATGCCGGGCCCGGATTTAACGAGCAAACCAACGTTTCGCAAGCACAAATACAGAAAATTGTAACTTAATCCTCTCACTCCGGCTAGGTCTTACTTGCTCACGAAAAACCTTGATAACGTAAGGGTTAGTTTTGTATGAAAAACAAAAAATAGTTGCAAATAGAGGAGTGTAAATATGCATCCCATTTGACATGCATTTCGTTGTTTTTTGTTTGACTTTTTTGTTGACGAATAATAACACAATCGCAAACATTTGTTTCCATTGTAACACACAAAAAAAATAGTCTTCTTGCAATCTAGTGCATAGGTTAAGGTACTATTGGTAAATCCCGATTAATTAAAATACAGAAAATAAACAAAATGTTCTACTTAGAAATAAGAGATAGAAATAACATTAAATATATAAAAATAAAACCAAATTCTTGTCACATGAATAGTTCCATTGAAAATGTGTCGAAAATGAGTAAAATAATTAGTTTTGTAATAAAATTAAATGATGACTGACGGTTTAAGCTATAGAATTTTTTCATAGCCCACTTTTGAGTCCGCGTCATGATTTGTAATTAAGCATCATAATTGAACTTACTCAGTTCCAACAGATTATTAATAATACTGTTTTTCGACCATGATAATGGAACATATATATACTACGCTCAGTACACTAAACACCTAAAAACAGTGATCTAATTATCATACATACCTCCTGTTTAACTTTTCCTTCCACCACCAGGTGTACTCGAAGTTTTGGCGAAAGACAACGACACTCTCGCCATGCTTTAACAGGTACAGCGAGAGCCATGTCTGTGTATTTATTTTGCACAAGATAGAGGTCCCTAAGACTGGTGTGGCTAAGCAAAATTATTACATCTGCATCAATTTGTTGCGGTGAAATTTCCAAAACCCAAATATTGAGGAATACGCCGACATGAAGAATCGGATACGGTTCTTTAGTACAATTCACAAGACGCATCATGTGAATGGTCTCTCCACAGTTGCTAACAACGTCATCCAATAGAAACATGGCTTCAGCAGGGTCTAGCAATAAGTCTCGCAGTGAGATCCTACGTAAACCAGTTAAGTTTTTCATCAGCCGCTTCAGTGCTTGAAGAAGCTTACCTCCAGTGCCAAAAACACATTCCTGAGCTGATCGTTCTGTGGCAAGATGACACGCAAAAGAAAAGTCGAGAGTGTGAATATGACCAAGAGGGTTTTCGTCAAAGTACTCGCAGAAAAATGAAAGCATGTTCATGAATTCATACAAGTTGAAAAAATTACACATCGGTTCAAAAATCAGTTTTCGAAAATTTCGACCCACTCGATTCAAGCAGATCTGAGTTCTGTGATGATCAAGAATGTGCTGGTAGCCTGTATAATAGTTATACTTGCGTCTCGTTAGGATGCGGTCACTCAGCACAAACACGTGCCACACACGAGGAGAGTAGAATATTCGATACCAATTCCGGCAAACTTGAGAAGCACTGTAACGGTCGCTAATAGAGACTCTTGAGAATATGTCTTCAAGAAGGACGTCTGGCAAGGACTCCCACATTTCAGGTGTTCGATATCATCAGGAACGGCTACAAATATTTAACAGGATAATATAGCTTCTTTCAGAACTATTTCATTATGTTAACGTTCTGCAATTTGTATCTGCCTAAATAAAGAACAACTGATACCGCTTTCACACACAGTTGACTTTAATAAAACCACGACTTTTTTTTTTTTTACTCGTGTTATTGTTTCATAGTTCAATTAATAACACAAATATTTGTATTTGTGAATTTTTTTACTGTTGGTAGATATTTGAAGAAATCACAGAGTTAAAGTGAAACTAGAAAACCTGCCATAAGCCCATCCTTACACTTGTCTTTGTTTTGGTTTCGATGTTTTCTGTGGGTTTAGAAACAAGAACAAAGAAACACTATCTTACAACACATAAAGACCTAAATTTCATTGTTGAAAGTGAAAATAACTAAACAATACATTTTCTAAATGTAAACATCACAGAATTCAAAACAAAAATCTACAGGAAAAATACAGAAGCAAGATAAACTGGTTTTCTAACTATGTAATTCACCTAAAATGAGGCAATCTAAATTTAGCATATATCACAAATACCAAAGACGTTGACAAACAAATCACTTTTAATCTAATGTTTCATTACCACTAACCACTTTCCCTCCAAAATAGTTGTATAAAACCGTAGATGAATTGAAAACAAGACAATATTAAAAGACAGACAAATCCAAAAACAGACCCCCCCCCAAACTCATCGAACCTAATTACAACTTACAAGCACCAGTTCCTTTGTAGAAAATGTTAGCATACTCCTTAAAGAAACCGGAAAAGGGTTAACATAAATCAGGACTTTGACATAATAAATAGACTCCTATTCACTCCAGGAATAAAAGTCAAACACACGAACCCAATTCTTCAGGAAACATTTACCAAACATAATAACTGCTAGGCCTTTTACGTAAGGGAAATAGGTGGCAATTTGGACACATGGATAAAAAACACACCAAAAACTACTACTCACGAACACGAGTGAAACCAACTATAAGATTTTCGTCAAATACCGGCCCCTATCGGTTCAGCGGTAAATATAAATGCTAAAAATCGGATTTCAATACCAGTGAAAGCACAGCACGTATAGCCAATGTGTAGCTTTGTACTTAACAACAAACAAACCGTCAAAATGTCACCGTACTAAAAGATGAACCATTGATAATAAATAAAGAAGTAGAGAAGCTTTGATAATTAAATGTAACGAACCTATTATTAACAAACACCCAGGCACACATCTGAATATTTTTAAATTACCATTTTCTCAAATTAATTTCAACCTAATCAAACTCCTAATACACAAAACAACTCCTACGCTACCTTTATACGTGATTAAATATTCTGCAGAACAATTAACTGTTCATCAGTGGTTAAAATACAAAAAGATATTACGTTATGCTTTAGCCTAAATTTTGTGTAATTGACAGTGATCGCATCAGCGATTGAAACCTTGTACACATAAAGATTGTTTGTTTGTTTTGAATTTCGCGCAAAGTTACACGAGGGCTATCTGCGCTAGCCGTCCCTAATTTAGCAGTGTAAGACTAGAGGGAAGGCAGCTAGTCATCACCACCCACCGCCAACTCTTGGGCTACTCTTGGCGCTACCTGGTGATAAGCATTATACTTTTGTTCCGTTCAATAATTTAACTCTTCCCCATGTCATGAAATTTTAATCATCCCTTTTTATTCATGTCGTATTCTATCGCCTCTCTGTCCCCCAGTGGCACAGCGGTATGTCTGCGGACTTACAACGCTAGAAACCGGGTTTCGATACCCATGGTGGGCAGAGCACAGATAACCCATTGTGTAGCTTTGTGCATAATTACAAACAAACAATTTATCGCCTTTCTAAAATTCTTTCTTTTAAAAGGTCGAATATACAATCGTTTCTAATATCATAACTTACTTTGTGAAAACCATAATATTTCTTTATTTCTGGTATTCCATTTCTTGGACTGTCATCTAATATTAACCACCATCTATATAATATCCAATATTTCTAAGTATCGTATAATGTAAGTTATAATTTTGCTCCACGTGTAATATTTCATAAAACCTTCTCCCAGTAAAATAATAAGTAATTTATATTCACCAGACGAAATTACCTTTGCTTGAAAACTGAAGGATTTTTACTTTTCTTATATGTTCAGTTAAAGTAAAAAAAAAAAAGTTACATTTTCTGGTTTCTCTTGCATTTACTGCTCCCATACCCTTTTCATAAAATTTAAGACAGTCCATTGCCATAGTGTATTATGGGTAGATAAAACATCTTATATATATATATATAACTGTGTGTGTGTGTGTATATATATGTGTGTGTATAGATATAGATATATGTATGTGTATATATATATATATGTGTGTGTGGGTGTGTGTACAAACGTCATATATACAGCTTTAAATCGACCTCAATATAGTTTAACCAATGAAAACTAGAACCGTTATTTCATTCCGCTGTAGGGACACAATTCAGTTAAAGATAACCCATTGGCTGAAGGTGAAACCAAAAGACCAATAAAATTGTGAGAAAGTACTAATGGCTTAACTGTGGAATAAGTTTACCGAACCTTGTTGCTGAGTTGAGTAAACTGATGATCGTTCTTACTTCTAAAAACCAACACAAACACAGCTTAAGTCAAATACTGTACAAAGGACATTATTGGAACAACAATTACATGTTATTTGATTCCCAGCTTGTCCCTAAAGGTCCACCATTCGAAAGCGCTCGGGTTAACGGATTTTTATCATTTTGTATCAAGACTTCTTGAACGTACGTGTTTTTATATCATGCATGTTATTTTGTTCATGAGTACTGTTTTCGTATGTCAGTTTCTGAAGGAGTAGATATACATATTTTCAAATAAACACTGTGCGATAGATTTAATCTTTATGTTACAGTTGCAGGAATTTAGACAACAATCTTATAAGAGGGATGCTAGTTTTAGAGTAAAAAAAGAAATGAGTGGTGAAGTCATACTGAGAGATCCAGGGGCATCCCCGGAAAAACTTAATTTCCACTGAAAATGGTACATTTTAATGGCATTTGAGCCTGTTTTAATATCTTTTAAATGTTTCAGCTTGTGCAAGAAAGCATGTGTGTGTGTGTGTGTGTGTGTGTGTGTGTGTGTGATTGTACCACTAAAATTGAACCCATATATGTATCAAAACATAATGTCTGTACAGGCACTGCAACAATACAGATGTCCAGTCAAAACGTTCTGTACAGGCACTGCAACAATACAGATGTCCAGTCAAAACGTTCTGTACAGGCACTGCACCAATACAGATGTCCAGCCAAAACGTTCTGTACAGGCACTGCAACAATACAGATGTCCAGTCAAAACGTTCTGTACAGGCACTGCACCAATACAGATGTCCAGTCAAAACGTTCTGTACAGGCACTGCATCAATACAGATGTCCAGTCAAAACGTTCTGTACAAGCACTGCAACAATACAAATGTCCAGTCAAAACGTTCTGTACAGGCACTGCAACAATACAAATGTCCAGTCAAAATAAATTGGGAAGCTCATCAAAATAATACATAACCAAATAAGAGTAACGCTTATGAGAATAATTCAGTAACGATCGATTTACATACCTGAATAAAGAATACGTCTGGCTTCTGGTAGGAAAATACCAAGTAGACTCCGACTTGCTGCGTCAGTATGAACTCGAGTTGCGTGATCTATAAATAGAACACATCAAAAGTCGCAGTACTGTATGGAAACTAAGAATAAATCAGCTGCACTTTCTATCAGCTTTTATCGCCCTCTATTGTTGGTTTTTCAACATATCCCAAATAGTTTTATTTATTCATAACAGGAATTTCATAAATGAACAACAACAACAACAAAAAACTGTTTCAGCGACTGAATATCACAGAATGTTACTATATAAGAACAATAGTTTATTATGTAAAAATAATAATTGAGGTAGTAATTAGGATTTATTCACAATTATTAAACTTCATAAAAAAACGAGATTGAACTCCTGTCAATTAACTTAATATTTCAGGGAATTCCTACGATTACTTGGCCATGGCTAAAAGAAAACCTGCTGTCGAACTTTATTAAAATAGTCTAACACTTTTATTTGCAAGTTTACAATTGGATGGTTTTACGTACAATAATACCACACGTGAATTAAACAATTATCATAATACGATGTTAATCCTCGCTTTGTTTGTTTTGTTTTGAATTTCGCTAGCAGTCTAAGACTAGAGGGAATGCAGCTAGTCATCACCACCAACTGCCAACTCTTGAGCTACACGTTTACCACCGAATAGTGGCTGAAAGGGCGAGCATGTTTGGTGGGACGGAAATTCGAACCCGCAGATTGCGAGTCGAGCGCCCTAACCAACTGGCCATGCCAGGCCTTTAATCCTTGCTGTTAGCTTCGTAACGCGAAAATATGTGAATGATAAAATATAGAATATTCCATCTTACACAGAATTTTACTCGTATAAAAATGTTATTTCTAATGATTTATTTTCGGCAGTAAATATATTTCCAATGTTATCTATATCATGTGAAATAATGCTGACGAAAAACTCCCATTTAATGTATTTTTGTAACAAAAAAGTCATTTTTTAAATAAAAGTTTTAAATAAAATTCTCGGCTCTATAATAATTTGTTTGCTCGTTTCAAGGTAACCGATTTTTTAAAGACAGATTTCTTGAGGCTTTCTTGACCAATCGCAAAAGACTCGCTTAATTAGTGTTTGAATTATGACATGTTAACTATGCAAAGAATCTTGGTATGGGGAAGTGTGTGTGTGTTTTCTTATAGCAAAACCACTTCGTGCTATCTGCTGTGTCCACCGAGGGGAATATAACCCCTAATTTTATTTGAGGGGATGAGCAATCTGCCAGCTTAACGCTTTAATGACATTTTGGCCAAAATATAATTTATTTGGTTTGCGAAAACCATTGAAAAGTAATAAACTTCAGGTGTTCGTATAGCAGTGTCTAAACTGTAAAAGGGATGATTCAGCTTTAGTACAATACAGAAAAGTTCTTCTGGAAGATCCTGATAAACAAACACCACGATCGCCGTGTTTCATTTTGCTCATGTGAACACGAACTGAATGTGGAGTGTGTTAAATAGACGATATTTCAATCTACTTATGTTGTTTCATCAGCTTATTTTCTTGCTAGAAATGTCTTTTTTCTTGATTCTTTAAATAAGGAAAAACATGACCAGGGGCAAAATTCTCAAATAAAATGTAGAGGTACTCAGCTGTGTGAAGTGGGCCTGTTTTTGAAAAAAATCTTCGTGTAAACAT